AGAGTTGAAGAACGTGACTACAGGTCTCATTAAAATCTCTAATTTATGTATTTTAAGAAGACCATACAAGCGAGACAAATAAGGGTTTTTTAAAATGAAATTGTTGACAAATAGAATGTCCCTTTCAGTAAAAAAAGTCTTTATATTTGGTGAGAGTAGATTTAAACAAGTTAATGAACTTCTGCAGAGGGTTGGAGTTCAAAGTTATAAAATCATTACTGTTAAGAAATTCTTTTACTTTAGGTATGTAGTTTTCTTTATTCATGATAACCAAGCAATTTCCTTTGTCAGCCTTAGAGATAATGAAATTATTGTTAAGTAATTTGTCTTTAATGGATTTTAATAAATTAATATGTTGTTTAATAAGTGTGTTTTTATGAGGTTCAATTGTGTTAAGGAATAAGTATCTATTGAAATTGGAGATGCAGTGTGATTTCAAAAGATTTGTAAGATCAGTGTCATTAGAAAAGTGATTAATGATAAAATCTACATCAATAGACAGTTCCTCAATATCTTTTTTGTGAATCTGAGGTTTAACTGCAAATTTTATACCTAAGGAGAGAAACTAATTTTATAATTATTAAAACTAAGTTTTTAAATCTGTCATGAAAATTAAAACCCATTATCTGTCAAAGGTGCGTTTACGCACCTTTTTATTCTAATTTTTTTTCTGAGGTCATTTATGAAGTTGAATGGTATTCTCTTCATAAAATCGTATGAAAACCGTGCAGAGAATATACTAAGTATTTTTATTTCCTTAATTTTTCTTTTCTTTTATTTAAAATATTTTTTTGAAAATGTGCTATTTTAAACTTTTTTACCTAGTTTCAAACAATAATTTTTTTAGCTAGCAAATATTAGTAAACTATTTTTTCTTTTGCATTACATAAGTAAAAAACATTTATTTTGATAGTCCTGTAATTTGTTTTTACTCATATTTATAAATCGACTGTTATATTGACATATATTTGTAATGGATGCGTATACGCACCCTTGGCCGAAAACGGTATAACGGTATAACCATTAGGAATAAGAGTTGTTTTAGAACTATTGTCTGTGGTAGAAAATCCAGCATAAAATATTTTTCAATAACTTTTTCATGTCCTTTTTGAAAGTTTGAAAGAAAATAGCTTTTTTGCAACCGGAACAGTGAGAGATAATCGAACCGCTAAATGCCCAGTTGAAGATAAAAAAGCCATGGCAAAAAAGGAAATAGGTTCTTATACTTCCGCATTTGATCAAAACTTGGGAGTCCTTGTAACAAGATGGAATGACAATTCTATAGTCGCGGTAATGACAAATGCATGTAATATTTTATCACTCATGCAGACAAAACGCTATAACCGGAAGGAGCGCAAGGAAGTACTTATCCGCCAGCCAAATGTAATCCATCAATACAATAAATATATGGGTGGGGTAACCTCCATGATAACGGTATCTCCAAATATCGCATCGGAATAAGAGGCAATAATGGTGGTGGCGTTTGTTTACCATTCTGATAGGCAGCATGGTGGTAAATGGTTGGAAAATCTAATATATAGCGATTGAATCCAAACTGTCACAAGAAAAATTTCGCTTGAACTTAGCACTCTCCTTGCTAAAACATCGATGTTACTTCAAATACTACAGTATCCAATTCAAACAATGGAAAACTCTCTAAATCTGCTCTTCCAGCTGATGTGAGATTTGACAACATCGGACATATCATAATTAGGGAGGTTAATAGTGCAAGGAAAAAGTGTCGACTTTGCAAAAGTAACAGTATTTATCTATGTAAAAAGTGTAAGGTGCATTTGCACCCAGACTGCTTTGAAAATTTCCACTTAAAAAAATAAATTTTCTTTGTAATATTATTAACTGTTTTTGGCCAAGCGTGCGTATACGCACCCACGATTTTTTCTCCAACAACTATGTTTAGAATTTTTTTTTTTTGAAATGTCTTAATTTATTCATTTTAAATACACTTTAATAAAAAATATATAAATAAATCTTGTTTTACTTGTCTTGGCCAGTAATGGGTTAAAGGAGGATAATTTATGTTGAAAGTTAGAAGATTGATTGTATTTTTTATGTATTAAGTTGTTAAGTTTGAGCTTTAATCTATTGAATTTAATGTGTTTAAAAAAACCGACATCATTATGAATGTCGTTAAGATTAAATTGCAACAGTTGATAAGGAGTTACCTGAACCAGTTGGTCATATAGAATTTTGAGATCAATGTTATCAATGTTCACTCCTTCTGAGAATGTCACTGTTCTTCATAATATTTTTAATTGCAACTTTAAACTAAATCTGCTCGAAGACCTTGAGATACACAGAGAGTTTAATAAAACAAATGTAACATGTGTTAACACTCAAATACATCTCAATAGTAAAGTGCCTCCTCTCTTTAAGAGTATGTAATGTGATCTTATTATTTTATCAATTTTTATAGTGTTTTAAGCTCTACAATTTTAGGGAGTGGGTTAGGTTATTAAACAACTCATATGACTTTGAAAGAGAATATTGGACGCCACTATATTTAAAACTTTCTAAACTTGACAATCGATCAGTGATGAACATATAGAAAATCATTAATCTTTATGATATTATATTTAAATAAGGTAGCGACAAATTCTAATTCACAGAGACTTAATTATTCAAATTTAAATGATTTATTATAACTTATCTGGAGGTATACAGGAAACAGTTAAGGTGTGACTGTAGAGAGTATAGAGGCCTTCTTGTGAGAATTTACTACTAGGTAGTGTTAAATCTTATTAACTCCTCTCGGTGGTTGAACTAACTTCTTGATGTATTCTACGTTCTTCTGAATTTCCCAACAAGCAGCTTGTACGTTCTTTCAAAATTCATGCAGACACAGCTACTATTGAATCCTCGATTTAGTTTCTATCGAACCATCTAAATCTACTGAAACCATATATATATATATATATATATATATATATATATATATATATATATATATATATATATATATATATATACATCATCCTATCGTTTTGGCATCCGTTTATTATTAAATTCCCAACATTCTAGCGTCTCTTTGCAAAGTGGCGTCCGTATATGGACGCCACTTTGTTTTCTCGTAATAATTTGGTCCACAGTAGGAATTAACGCACTTTTTGTCTGTCAGTCTAATCCGTGCGATCTGTACATTGACCTATTCTTTTATCATCCATCTCATTCTATTCAATGCTGAGTTATATTAGATTATTTCAAGGATCAGTGGACTCCAAATTGTTAGGAATATGAAAGTGAAATATACAAACATAGTTCAGCATTTTGCCGTTTTAGCGCTAGTGTCATGTATATCTTATATACATGTTTCCTTCATTTATAATCCTACTGGCATCCAAAATGTGGCAACGCTGTTAAAAAAGGTTTTAATGTTTCTTTGCGGCTATGAAATAAACTTAGAGCCGAACGAAGTATTAGCATCATAATAAATATAATTTTATTATATACGTCTTTTTGACGTCCATATCGTTATTTGCATCAATTTGGCTTCCAAGATTTTACTGATTAAAAAAATTAAATAAACTAATTTCAACATATCCTGTAACTGACTGTTACAATATCATTCATTTTTTTTATATTTTCGTAATTATTTTGAATGAATGTAACAATTGGTAAGAATTAAAAGTGTAAAACATAATTATAAAAAAATATTTAAGTTAAGGTTTGAATTAACTAAAATGAAAAACATTAATATTATTTGAAAATATTTAATTTATTTATTTTGCTAAATTTACTTAATTTCTCCTTAACCCACCCCTACCCATACCCACTAGGTCAGAATAATTAAAAAAAGATAATTCTTCAATATTTTTTTGTCTTATAAACAACATTTTAAGCTATTAAACGAATATACTGAAATAGTATTATGAACATTTTCTATTAAAATATAAAATTAAAAAAGAACAATTAAAACTAGAAAAATTATAAAAAGAAATCATATGGAAACAGGCGAAACATAAGATATTTTTCTAAAAGTGATTAAATTACTATAATTTAAATATTAACATTTATTAATATAAAAAATATTTAATTTTTTATTTCATTTATTATTATGTTAACTCTTTAAAACAGAAATACATTTTTTAGCTAATTCTTGTTCATCTCGTTTTTTCAAAGATTTTGTAGATATGTTAATTTTTTGCAAAACTACAGTATTTAGTACATTTTGTTGATTGACTGTTCTCCTCCTTTTTGAATATTTCTTCCTTATCGTAGTTCACGTCGTTTTCCAACTTCAATACCCTGCTTCTTAAGCTTTCTGTATGTTCCTTTATTATTGTAGTTCTCGTTGTTTCCTTTAGTGCTACTAACTTTAATTTCCTTATCCTTAAGTTCTTTTTATCTTTCTTCCTTATTGCAGTTCTAGTCGTTTTCTATAGAACTACCAACTTCAATTTCCTGATCCTTAAGCTGTATGGATCTTCCGTCCTTATTGTAGTTCTCATCATTTTCAATGGTGTTACAAACTTTAATATTCTGATCCTTTAGATCTCTTAAAACATTTTCATTTTCCTGATTTTTGTGTTTGGTATCCTTTCTTCGTGATTCTTTATTACTCTAAAATAAAAGTATTGAAATTTTGTAAAAAAAAATTGTAATTTTTTTACCCCTTTAAACAAATCTTTATCATTACTACTACTACTACTACGACTACTACTACTACTACTACTACTACTACTACAAGGGGAGTAGGGGGAATAGACAGGATCTTTATCAGAGCCGTACACATATAAGTCCTTAAATAGAATGAATTGAATTAGAATTATGAAGTCATTATTTATTGACAAACACCGACATCTTAAAAAATGTAAGTTATGCTAATTAACAGTATCAAATTAATAAATTAATTATAAATAATTTACTTACCTCTAACAGAAATTCTAATCCCTTCATTGGTATGGGAGAAGGGCTCTCAATATATTATGTGTATACATTTTCTTCGGTTGCAGCTTTGTTTTTCTGTTCATGCTAAATAGAAGATGGACTTAATCTTAAATGTTGTAACGTTATTTAATCCAATAAAGAAAAGTATATAAATCAATACCATATAAAATACGTTCAATGATATTTTTGTATTATGGGCCTGATTTATGGCTTTATTGAACATGGACAAGTAGCAACAAGAAAATACAATGAAAGCTCGATTTTGCTTTTTTCAGTTAAGTTGTACAGTTTTTATATACCTACATATATTTTTTATGCTGTTTTCATCAGTTTTTTCTTTAAATCTTACGGTTCGTTACGCAACAAACTTTTCGCATACAAATTTAAAAATTTCTCAGACAATTTGTTTTTTAAGATTTAAATTTTTTGATAAACGTACATTTTTTGACCTGAACATTATTCCATAAATGATATTTGCTAATATTATTTTTGATATCACCAATTAAAAGAGCCTTGCTATTTTTGTTTTGTAGGAAGACCAAATTTCCTATTACATAACAATATTTACGAGATACAAATTTTTTAGTCACTGTTATAAATTATATATAAGGTTTTATAAGAAATTATCACATAAAAATAATGTTATATTACAAAACATGAAATTTTTTCTCCCTTGTGCGAAAAAATGTGCTCCATTAAATAGTGGGGATGAAGTCATATCTTGAATAATAATGATGTTATATTCTGAATAGTGATGACGTCATAAAAATATAATTGTGCCTATTAAATACAAAATTCATTACCAACTTGTCCAGTAGAGCCAGAAATCTGGTGTTTCGCCAATTATGCAAAAAAAAGAAAAAAAAAATACCAAAAAAACAAAAAACCCCTGGATTTATTTTGGAGGGAGTCCGATTTTTCAACTACATCAGCACTTTAATCCTTCAGCTAAAAGATGAACAAATCCCACAATTTGAACTAGAATTATATTGCTTTATTTGAGATACTTCTCTACTTAATAGTCAGTACATAATTTACAATAAAGTATATATAAATAAAGCCAAGAGCCGATAAATTAAAACTTATTTCGGCAGAATGAAGATAATACATAATGCTTGCCATTCTATATTATACTCTGCACAGTTTAACAGACCCCCTTAACCCCCTTAATTTTTCTTTCAGAATTATCCCCTTATAGGGCTTGATTTTCGCAAAGATTTTAAGTTGATGTCATTATTCGTTTTTGAGTTAGGATTTTTTAATATTTCAACACCCAATTTTAATTCAGATTTTTGTTTCAATAATCAAATAGGCTTTATCCTCTAAACGTTTCATTATGATATCCCTTTTCGTTTTTTTATTTCTGATTTTTTAAAATTTAAACCACCCTTAACTCTCCAATTTTTATTAATAGGCTTCGTCCCCATATAGAGCTGGATTTGTCCTAAAAATTTTAACTTCAACCCACCTTAACCCCCTCTTTTTAATCAGATTTTTTTAAAATCAATCGGCTTCATCCCCTTATACGGCTTGATGTTTCCTTTCAAATTGATATTCTTTTTTGTTTTCAATAAATGATATTTTTAGGTTTAAACCCCCCTTAAAAATCCCATTATTAATTATATCTTTTTTTTAAATCAATAGGCTTTGTCCACTTATATATCTTAATTCTGCCTGAAAATTTTAAGTTGATATTGTTTTTCGTTTTTGATTTATGATTTTTTTTAAGTTTTATCCCCCCTTTAAACTATAATTTTCAATCAGATTTTTCGAAGAGCTCTTTTTCTCTGATAGAGCTTCATTTTCCTAAAAATTTCAAGTTGATATTGGTTTTCGTTTTTGATTTATGATTTTATTTTAGGTTTTAACACCCCACTTTTATTCATATTTTTTTTCAAGATCAATATGCTTCGTACCCTTATAAAGCTTGATTTTCCTGAAAATTTAGTCATTATTTTTAATTTTTGACTGTCAAGTGGACACAATAATGTTATGTGTGCATTTAATTACTAACACAATTAGCGTACAAATAAAGTGTCACACTTTACAATACGAAACAGTTTGTTATCAAGCTAGAAGGCGCAAAAATCAAAAGTAATGCAATAAAAGTCTTTTTTGCCGAATTCTCCATCAAATTATCTTTTCAATGATGGGTCATCCTTGGTACTTTCCCTATTTAAATCGTAGGGGTTGTTTACCCCACTGCTCGAAGGTTGAAGCATAATATGCTGCAATTAGAAAAAAAAAGTATCCCTCTCTAAAATAAAATGAACCTGCGTTTTTTTTTTGCATCAAGACGAAAAAAAACTAATGGCAAGGTTTCGGTGATATACCCTGTATAGGATATTCCAATAGTAACATAAACTCAGCTTCTTTAATAAATTATTGAAAAATCGAAAAATGTATTATTTTTGTCAAGCTCTTCGGATGTTACGGAATAGTAACAGTGTATGGAATGATCAAGAAAACCATTTTCTAAAGTAGACCTTGGTAAATAAAATTCACGCTGATCGTAGCGTACAATTCTTCTTCTTACTTAAAAAATATCATTTTGTTATACAGAATTTGAGAAATATTCAACAAAGTAAACCCAACTTTTATTCAATTATTTTTGCATATTTCGGTTGATAAGCGACATATTGTACCTCATATATATGTAATGATCTGTTTAAAAAGAAAAATTATCGAGATGCCGAAATGATTGAAAATTTTAAATATATTTTATATATACTGCAAGATGAAGACGCCAAAATGATTATAAAGGTGAAGTGTTTCTTACATTTACATATGTGGACGTTAAAATGATCGGTTTTAAAAGAAAACTATCAGGACGCCGAAATGATTAAAAATTTTAAATATATTAAATACACTGCATGATGAAGATGCCAAAATAATTATAAAGGTGAATTGTTTCTTACATTTATATATGTGGATGTTAAAATGATCGGTTTAAAAGAAAACTATCGGGACGCCGAAATGATTGAAAATTTTAAATATATTTTGTATACACTGCATGATGGAGACGCCAAAATGCTTGTAAAGGTGAAGTGTTTCTTACATTTGTATATGTGGACGTTAAAATGATCGGTATTAAAAGAAAACTAGCGAGACGTCGAAATGATTAAAAGATTTTAAATATACTTTATATATGTCGCATGGTAGATGTCAAAATGATTGTAAAAGTAAAATGTTTTTCATATACGTTGACGTTAGAATGATCGGTTTTTAAAAATAACTAAGAAGACGCCATATTGATTTATTTATTTAAACATATTATGTTATATACATTAGGTACAGGACGTTAAAACGATGATATTAAAATCTTTCAGATATACTAATGATAATATATAATTATGTTAAACGTGAGATTTAAAATAATGGTCTGTGTATATCTACAATATGTGACGTTACAATGATTGGATTTCTTTTAAGAAACTTGGCAACGTTGCTGGTAGTCGAAATGATTTTACTTTTAATTCTTTTTTGTACGGACGTCAAAATGCGTTTTAGTGTAAAAGTCGCGTATATAGTAAACTTTACACTACTAAAAATTTAAGATGAGTTCCATGTATTAAAAAATCCGCCGGATTTATATACACGGCTAAAAATTTAAAAATAGGTTTCTTTCTAGTGGACGCCAAATTAAGGTGTTATGAAAGGATGCCGAAATGATAGTGGGATGTATATATATATATATATATATATATATATATATATATATATATATATATATATATATATATATATATATATATATATAACTTCTAGAATTTCTTTAAGACCATAAGACCATCTATATACAGCAAGGCTACAAGGAAAAAGGCAAAAATATAAAGAAAGGAGCCGGAAAGAGTATATAGGAACAGATAAGATGATTTTTACTATCAAATGAACAAATAAAACGATTATTTGAATAGTTACACAGAGATTAGAATTTAATAGGAAAAGAAAAAGTCTTATTTAATATATATATAAATATAGTAAATCTATCTATTTTAAACAAAATAATATAGGAAATTATATAAAACATATGATTTCTTGTGATTTTCAATGTGTTTTCATGTTGAGGTTATGTTTCAAATTTGACATTTTAAATTCAAATCTTGTACTAAATATATATTTTCAACAAAATATCGGTAGGAAACTTACCTTTTTAAAATCAGATGGTCATTAAAAATATTTAAGATAACTAGTACATCGGATGTCCCAGATAATAGATAATTAAAATTCTATAATCAAGTTGCTTGTCGACAGATAAAATGAAAATGACAATCCAAGTTTTGACATTAGACATAAACGACAAATGACGTTTGTGTAGAGATGTTGGTTTCAAAATAACGAAAACGGGTCTGGGTCAAATAACGAAAACGGTTCTAACCGTTACAAGTATTGGCAACGGTTGGTCTGAAGTTAGCCAGCTTCACTTTAAATTTTCTTGCAGCGGAATTGATCTTGTCTTCTCCGGCGATTGCTGATTTCGTGGCCAGAAGGGTTTTTCCTCCTTTTTTAACTGGAAAAGCTGGTCTGCTTGCGACTTCGGTTTCGCTGGGGTCGACATGCTCAATTCTGTTGTTTTCAGCTTGGCACCATTTTAATTTCTAATAATTTTTACAAAAAAATACGTTTTTTACCTTTATTTACTATATATTTTATAATTCTATTTAATCATTGTAATCTTTTGCTGTTTAAAATTTAAAAGTCCCGCCATGACTTGATCTTGCTTGCTCAGTGGTGCCAACCCACTTTTATCATTTTCAATATCAACTTTTGACAATTTTTCACGAAGTTCATTTCAATTACTCAAGTTCAATTTCAATTTTCAATTTCATTGTCAAATGTCAAATGTCACTCATTCTGTTTTGGAAACTGTCAAGATGGTCACGTTTTTAAAAAATCGTGTACTTATTTTTGTACCCCAACTTGCCTCCGCCTCACGGTAGCAATTGGCAAAATCTGGCTGCCTTCATGTTGAAGACTAGCAGTTTCTTTTTCTCTGAGTGTTTTGTTTTACATGGTCGGATGAACCTCCACTTCATTTAAAATTTAACCACATTTTACGTTTTCCGAATTTCGGTGTGTTTTTTTTTATTTTCAATTATCCAAGCTGCAAGCTATGGTGGAGATTTGGGACTGATCTGTTGCTG